GCGCAGCCCGCGGGGCTCGGGGCGTGCGGGACTGCGTGCGCGCGCGCGTGTTGTGTGGGGGGCCGCCGGGTGTGTATCTGCGTAAGCGCCGGGCTGTCATTGAGCCTGCCCGGTGCGGTCCCTCCTGCGCGGGGACGTTTCCAAACAGGCTTCCTGCGGCGGCGGGCTCTGCTGCAGCCGGAGCCAGAGCGGGGGAGCGCCGCCCCCGCAGGCCTCCGGAGACCCGGGCGGTCCGGGGACTGCAGACAGTCACCTGAGGGAGGGAAGGGCGCGCACCCGGGAGGGGTGTAGAGGCCTGCCTGCAGCACTTCGCCACGATGGGGAGATGGAGGCAGATGGATGGGGAGGTGGAGGAGCCCAGACAGCCGGAGGTGGGGAGCAGGGTGGGAAGACAGAGCGAGGAGGACAGACACTGAGAAAACAGAGACAGACAGACCCTTAAGGACCTAAGTCCACAAAGGGACAGAAAGACTAAGGTGACCAGAGCGACTCTAAAAACCTGACTGGCGTCCTGGGGCTGAGAGCTTAATCTAGGAAGGGAGTCTACGATGAGGAATACCCCCCCAACTCCTGGAGTACCTCTTTTCCAGCATATCCCAGACCCCGGTCGTGGACAAAAGGAAACCTTTGATCATGGGGCCCCTTCCTCTTTTCCCTGGTATCCTAAAAACCCTGGGGCGGGGGCAGAGGTGAAATGGCAGTGACGGCTACTCTGGTCATAGCCTAAGTGGTCCAGAAACAGGCTGGAAGTGGCATTGGGATGGGAGGCTGCAAGGATCTTTCTCTCCTCTTTCACTCTGCCCAGAATGGTGCTGGAAGGGAACCCTGAAGTGGGCACCCCCCGGACCTCAGACCTCCAGCACCCTGGGAACCAGGGCTCTTGCATCCTCTCTTCTGGTGAAGATGCCCAGCCTGGCGAGGAGCCCATCAAGTATGGCGAACTCATCGTCCTGGGGTGAGCGTCCCTGGTCCAGCTGGGGCTGGGCACCAGCTACCTCCCAGGACAGCCAGACCAAGGCCCCCGCCCCCTTGCTTGGCTTTCCTCACCTTCCCAGCTGAGAGACGAGGTTGACCGAGTCCACCCAACTCATTTTATTTTATCTTCCTACTTTCATAAATTATGGAGAGAAGTCTAATCACCTATCTAACTTCCTAATCAGATAAGACAAAAGTCGGGACCAGCTGCCTTTCACAAAGCACCTAGTGTCTAGGCGTGAGTGAGGAACTCTGGTTTCCCAGCAAAGTTGCTTGGTTCAGATCCTGCCGCTGCAGCTGCTTAAGCTTCCCGTGCTGCGTTTTCCCAGCTTACAAATAGGAGGATAGCCAGATACCTCAGAGGGCTGTCAGCAGGAATGAAGGAGGTGACTTCCGTAAAGCACGTGGAACGGCGCCTGGTGTGCCGAGCGCTCTGGGAGGCAGGCCTGCGCCAAGCCCTTTCACGGACGTTATTTCATTTCAATCTTCACAAAGATGCTGTGAGGAAGGAGGTGAGGAAACCGAGGCTCAGAGAGGGGAAGTGACTGGCCCAAGGGCGCACAGCTGGTAAGTGGCAGGGCTGGGATGTGGATGGACCCAGGTCTTTCCTACTCTAGGGCCAGTGCACGCCCACTAGCCACAGCTGGCCCGCACTTTGCAGACAAGAGGCCCAGAGAGAGGACGCCGCCTTCCTTGGCGGCTGGGCAGACTCACCCCTACCTGGTTTCCCTGACCAGGACCCCTGCAGCACCCCCATTCCTCCTCCCTCACCCGCACCTCTGGCTTCCCCATCTGCCCTCTGTTCTGAAGGAACTATCTGATGCCCTGCTGCCATCATGACAGTTCTGCAGCAGCAGCGTGCACTGTTTGTTGACATGTACGTGCCATGTACTTTTTTTTTTAACAATATTCCAGTGGTAATAATAATAGTTAACATTTATGCAGGGTTGCCGGCTACATGCCAAACTCTGCCTCAAGCAGGCCAAATGCTTTATCTGATTTATTCTCACATGAGCCCATGAGGTGGGTCCTGATCAATCAGCCCCCTTTCACAGCGGTCATGTGATCACGGAAAAGCCGAGACTCCAGCCAGTCTGGCCTGAGTCCGAAGCCATTGTGTTGCACAGGGAGGAGCTTCGAAGGGCGAAAGTGGTGCCCTCTCACCCGTGTTTGCTTTAGATAAATGGCTGCTTGGTGCCCAGGGCAAGGCTGACTGCCCAGCTGAAGCCAGGCTGCGAGCGGGAGCGTGCAGACCGAAGGGCGAGGCCCTCTTCACAGCCACAGCTCCTCTGCAGAGCAGTGAAACCCCGCTGACCACAGCTGACCACACGTTAGATGGCCTGGAGCTCTCACCCCATCCATGCTTCCCGGACCTGCGGACTCAGTCCCGTGGGTGGGGTGTGCATCTGCATTTCCACAAACTCCCCAGGAGATTCTGATTTGAGTGGTCTTTGGCTTATTTGAGTGCTCTCCTGTCCCTCCTTGCTCCAAAACCTTCTGTGGCTCCCAAATGCCTACAGACCCCTGGCCTGGGATGAGGGGGAGAGGGAGACCTCCACCACCTTCATCCTCCCCGCCCTGCTGTCACCCAGCCCTGCCCGCCTCGGGGCGGCACAGCCGGGCCTTTTGTCTAGCAGGGTTTCTGCAAGAGGCAGACAGAGTTCAGCCAGGTACTTTCTCAGGCTCTAGCCTGGGGCCTCAGACAAGTCATTTTCCCTCATTCCCCTGAGCCTCGATTTCCCCCGTTCATAAAGTGGGAAGAGAAACACTTGCTGGGAGGATGTGGCCATGGTGCCCAGGTCCCATTAGGTCATTAATAAGCTGAAGCACCAGGAGCCCGGGAGGCCCCAGGCCGTGGCAGCAGTCACGGCTGTGACACCCCATTGTTGGTGCCCTCACATCCACAATCATTCCCTGGGGACACGAGCTGGAAAGGAAGGTGGAAGTTTGGTGTGGACGGATAGAGGAGGTAGTGGCCTCGCAGGCCCGTTTATCTCATTCTGGTCTCCAGAAGAGCTTGTGTAACAAGTGACAGTTTGCAACAAGTGACAGTTTCCATTCTCCAGGTCTCACACAGGGTCCCTCTCTCAGGAGCCTGGTCTTGGGGCCAGAACCCCCTTCTCCTGCCTCTGTGGCTCACTGAGCTGTTGCTTGGGTCACGGTGGGTGTGGCGGCCAGGTTCCTGGAGAAACCAGGGCCCCTCCTCGCACCCCTGATGGCCCTGATCGGACCTGGGGTGCATCACATCTGCCACCCCAGCAGCAGCACCCGGTTGGTTGAATGGAAGGGCTTTGAAGTTGCCCTGCTCGCAGCCAGCCCCACAGCTGCACAGCTGGGGCTTCTACTTCAGGGCGTCTCTAGAGCTTGTATATTAAGGCCAGGTTTGCCCGGAAGTTGGCGTTCCCTCCAAATCTGTTAGGGGTTCACTTTTTCTTTCTCTCTCCTTCCCTCCCTCCCCACACCTCTTTCTTTTTAACCCCCCACATCCACAGCTACAATGGGTGTCTGGCAAGTGGGGACAAGGGCCGCCGGCGAAGCCGCCTGGCACTGAGCCGCCGGCCACATGCCAACGGAGTGAAGCCTGATGTCATGCACCACATCTCCACGCCGCTGGTCTCCAAGGCAAGCAGCGCTGCGGGCAGGCCTGGCGCCCCGGCCCTCCCCGCGGGCCCAGGCCTTCAGCCCTCTGGGCCCTGCCTGCCCACGGCCCCACTGGGCAGGGGCCCTGTGTGCTCACTCGCTGGGCCACAGGAGGAACGGCGCTGGCCGGGGAGCCCGGCGCTGCGTGAGCCCTTCAGCGTGTGCAATGACCCCTTGGCCACCAGGCCCCACTGGCTGCAAGGGTCAGCCGAGCTCAGAGGGAGGCGACAGTCACACAGCAATGGCACTGGAAGAGCCTGCGCTGCGGGTGGGGTTGGGGCTAGCTTCCTGGCTGTGTGGCTGTGGGTCAGGTCTGCAGCCCCGCCCCCCTCTCGTGGGGTGTAACAGTGCCCCCTTCCACAGGGTGGCTGTCAGCCCAGAAGTTGCCTGTGTCAGTGCCGCCGCAACCCTCTGCAGGGTGCACCCCTCCCCCGGGCCTGGCCCCTGGCATCTGGGCTCAGTTCTGGTGGCCGCACGCCCTGGGAGGTGACTTCTCCTTCCTCCCTCCCAGGCGCTGAGTAATCGCGGCCAGCACAGCATCTCGTACACACTGTCCCGGAGCCACTCGGTCATTGTCGAGTACACACACGACAGCGACACAGACATGTTCCAGGTAAGCCAGGCCCCCCGCGGCAGCCGGCCTCCGGCCATTCCCGGGGAGCCCTGGAAGGCGCCAGGGCCAGCAGCCGGTTACGCGGCAGAGGACTCGGGCTGTCCCCGCCCAGGGCGCCTCGCGGGCGAGTCCCGCTGCCTTTCAGATGGGAACTTTCTGGCTGGGTCACCCAGCCAGCCTCGCTGAACCTCTCTGAGCCTGGAACGCAGGCCCCTTACTAGCCCCGGCTGTGGCCACCGCACGGAAACGCACCGAGTCGCTGTGCGCTGCCAGCGTCTGCGCGCCTCACGATTGCGGGGGGGGGGGGTGGCCCACTGTTCCCTCAGAAGGCAAATCGTACTTGTTGGGTGGGATGCTTCCTGGAGCTGTGGGGGAGCCAGGTTAGGAGAAGCCCCAGCCGTGACGATTAAACGTGTGGACCCCTGGAAGTGCGAAGGGCGCGTCCGCTTGGTCACTCGCGACCCCAGACAGAGCAGTGCCCAGTCCTGGGGAGCCCAGTAGGACCCCTGCGCACACGGGGTCTCTGTGCTGCCCCCTTCCTCACAGATTGGCCGCTCCACGGAGAACATGATTGACTTTGTGGTCACAGACACGGCCCCCGGAGGGGGGGCCACGGAGGGCCCCGCCGCCCAGAGCACCATCTCCCGCTACGCCTGCCGCATCCTCTGTGATCGCCGGCCGCCCTACACCGCCCGCATCTATGCCGCTGGCTTCGACGCCTCCAGCAACATCTTCCTTGGTGTGAGTGCGCCCCCCGCCCCCGGGATGACGAGCGCCTCGGCTGCGAGTGAGCCCGGAGCACCCCACAGTCCTCATAGCTGTGACTGCAGGGATTAGCGACCCGTTTGACAGACGAGCAGAGCGAGGCTCCGAGAGCCCAGGGCTGCCCGGGGTCATCAGTCCCGACCACTCTAGCTCGAAGACTGCTGGGGCCACCTGGGGACACGATCTGATCCCACGTGTGGTCCCAGGAGCGGGCGGCCAAGTGGCGGACCCCCGACGGCCTGATGGACGGTTTGACCACCAATGGGGTCCTGGTGATGCACCCAGCAGGCGGCTTCTCGGAGGACTCGGCCCCAGGCCTGTGGCGGGAGATCTCCGTCTGCGGGAACGTGTATACGCTGAGAGACAGCCGCTCCGCACAGCAGCGGGGGAAGCTGGTAGGTGGCCTGCTCCATCCGCCTGCACCTCCTCACCCGCCTGGGCCCTCCTTACGTGTCCGTCCCGTGCCCACGCCTGGAGATGCTCTGGGGTCCCCACCATGAGCTCACAGAGGGCCCCCCCAGCCTCCCCATGTGTAGTTCCCAAGCTGCTGGACGCCCTCGGGTGGTGTGAAGCGGAGCTCACACAAATGCCAACCCCCGCGGCTCTGAGGATGGAGCAGCTTAGAAACTCACGCCTTTTTGGGAGGTGGCACTTGGCGGGTGGGGGCGGCTCTACAGTGTGGCAGCTTGAACCACGTGCAGTCTCCCAGCGGGGGGCTGGGGGGCCACGAGCACCCCCCCCGCCCCTCCAGAGGAGGAGCGACCTTATAGGAGTGGGCGGCAGGCCTGCCCGAGGCTCAGGGCGGCAACTTCTCGAGTGGAACTGGCCTGGGGGTGCAGAGCCTCGAGTGGGGGGGCATGGCCGCCCCGGCGCTGATTCTGTGGGAGGTGGGGGAGACATTATTTTAAAATACGCTGCGGCTCCTCCACCGGCATCCACTTCGCCAGCACCGACGGGCGCCAGGTGTTTGCATTGATCGAGTCTTAAGAACCACTTGAGACACTGGGAAGTGGGGTCAGCTTGAGGAGAGGGAAGTAAGCCGCTGAGACAGGAGGGAGGGCGAGGCCAGGGCTCAGCCAGGGGTTGGACAGCGGCTTTGGCTGCGTGCCCAGCGTCACCGCAGAAGGGCTTCCTGCCTCTGCCACTAGGGGGGAGCGGGGGAGACCCTTTAGAAAGCCTCATTTGGAGCCAGACCTGATTGGACAAATGAGGTGACCGAGGTCCCTCTGAGGCAGAGGCCCAGTCTGTGGCGGCACCTGCCTGCCCGCGGCTTCTCCCCCGGCCCTCCTCTGCCCAGCCCTCCTCCACTCCGGCCCCCTCAGCCCGGTCCCCCAGCGCCCTCCCCTCCACGCAGCGCCCCCTGCTCCGCCCCAGCCCGCCCCTCCTCTGTCGCCGTCCACTCTGCTGGCCCGAGTGCCCGCTCCAGGGAGGACCAGGGGGCCGCTGGCTGGGGTGACGGCTGCCGAGGGAGGGTTTGGGGCTTTCGTGGGTGATAAGGCTCTTCTGCTGCCCCTGGCAGGTGGGAAACGAGTCCAACGAGCTGCAGGACGGGTCCCTCATCGACCTGTGCGGGGCCACGCTGCTGTGGCGCACGCCGGCGGGGCTGCTGCGGGCACCCACGCTGAAGCAACTGGAGGCCCAGCGGCAGGAGGCGAACGCAGCGCGGCCGCAGTGCCCCGTGGGCCTCAGCACTCTCGCCTTCCCCAGCCCGGCCCGCGGCCGCACGGCGCCCGACAAGCAGCAGCCCTGGGTCTATGTCCGGTGCGGCCACGTCCACGGCTACCACGGCTGGGGGTGCCGGCGAGAGCGGGGCCCCCAAGAGCGCGAGTGTCCTCTCTGCCGCCTCGTGGGGCCGTACGTGCCCCTGTGGCTCGGCCAGGAGGCCGGCCTCTGCCTGGACCCCGGGCCGCCCAGCCATGCCTTTGCCCCCTGCGGCCACGTTTGTTCAGAGAAGACTGCCCGCTACTGGGCGCAGACGCCGCTGCCCCACGGCACCCACGCTTTCCACGCGGCCTGTCCCTTTTGTGGGGCCTGGCTCACCGGCGAGCACGGCTGTGTCCGCCTCATCTTCCAGGGGCCGCTGGACTAGGCGCCTGGGGCCTGCCACTGCTCCCCGCCTGCTCACCCAGGTCCCCACCTCCTGCAGCCGGGGCTCTGCATGTGGGACTCTACCTGCTGGCACGTGGCCACACCTGGATGGACTCCCTGGATGGGCTTTGTCCCTCCCCTCTTAACTCTGGTCCCCATGGGGGTCCCCGAGGCCCCAGTCCCAGTCAGAATGATGGGGCCCCCAGCACCAGCTCTGTCCCGGGCTGATGGAGGGAAGCCCACCTCCACGCCCTGGTCTGTGTCATGCCGCCTACACTGTGCCCCTGGGGGCGTGAAGGGACTGTGGGCCCCTGACCCCCAGTTTAGGCTGGCGGCGCCTGAGCCTGCCAGCCCACTTCCGAATCTTCACCCGCTGCTGCCCTGGGTTCCTCTATAAACCTTGCTGCTCGGCTGCCCTCGCAAATCCTACGTGTCCCGCATGCATGCGATGCCTCCAGCCCCAGAGTGAGTGACAGGTAGGGGCAGGCTGGCACCAGCATCTGCCGGTACCCGCTGTGAGCTGCACTTCACGTCGGATGGGCTCCGGAGTCAAGGAGACGGTCAACCCTGGCTCCCAGCCCGGTGGAGTCCCCATCTAGTGGACGGCAGACCAGAGCACCAAAACACAGCATGGCTTCCTGTGTGCTGGGATCAGAGAATTAGGGGGGTTGGGGAGAAGGGTAGTGAGGGGAGGCGTCACTGAAGGGCTGCTGTAGGACCGGGGCCTGAGGGGCCACATCAGGAATCTACCAGCAGGGGAGGGTGCTCCGGGCCGGAGGGCACAGGCTCAGGGCTAAATAGCCCGGGATCGAGGTTCCCGGCGGCTACAGGGGGCAGAAAGCAGCTAGAGCAAGAGGCTGGGGCTGTGCGGGTGAGGAACAACTGAACAGAGAGGGGCTTCAGCACCTGCGCCCCACGGGGGACAGTCAGGAGTCAGGGAAGAGAGGACTCACGCCTCCGGAGCATTGGCTGTGACCCAAGGGGCGCCGCTACCGAATGCTGGCATGTAACCGCTCGCCCTCCACCCGCCAGGCACCGGGCTCTGCCGCTCGGACGTTCCATTTTTTAATCCGTGGAGTGATCCAGGGAGGAGGGGACTGTGGTCAAGGTCTGAGTAAGCCCAGACTCCGGGACACCTGAGGACATGCTGGGTGGCCTTATGAGAGTAGATGGACCTGTTAGCCTCAGTTTCCTCACCTGTACAATGGATAAAGTGATAATTTTCTACCTCAGGGTTTTGTAAGAATTAAATGAGATGCTGCATTTCAGGCCGCCAGCGAGGGATCTCACGTTAGTTGTGGCAGCTTGTCTGGGGTTCCAGAAGTACGGGGTCTTGTGCTAGCCCGAGCTGCCCTCTGGTGGCAGCTGGCCGCACTACCTCCTTCACCGGTAAACCCTTCAGCTTCACCTAAGTCATGCAAGACTTTATATCCATCTCAATTAAAATTCAGGTACTAGGAGGCAGATGGGTGATTTCCCTAAGGACAGACTAGTTACTGAGTTCCACCCTACACTGACATCACCAGAGCCAACAGTCAGTTGCAGTGTTGTCCAAGCAAGGCTTTGGGCATCTTTGTCAAGAAGTGGCCCCCAGGATGGGCAAGCCCGGCAGGTCTCCCCTCTCTCGCACCCTCCTGTATGAGACCCTAGCCTAAAACTTGTCTTGGGGCAGAGACATGTATAATCGTGGTTTCCGGCGCAGGAAGCCAAGATCCACAGGTAGGACCCCTGAGTCAGTAGGTGGGGGAGCCCTGACTCCACCTTAGGTGTCCTGGTCCCTGTCCGGGACCCTCACCAGGCTGCAGCTCCGACCTGGACCCTGGCGCTTCCTCTGCCATGCCTCTTTGAGCGGCCCAGACAGGCAGAAATGGGCCTTGGGCTTGGTTCTGCTAAGAACTCGCAGGCAGCCAGCACCCAGCCCCTCAGCCCTCCCTACACGAGGTTTAGGTTTGGAGGCTGCTGCACAGGGAAGCCCTGGGGCCGTGTCTGCACCCGCAGGACGGGCCTGTCAGTGCAGGCAGGCGACTGCCTGTCGCTCCGCAGCCCGGAGCCTCCACCTCCCGGCCCTCGAATCCAGAGGTCGGGGTGGCCACTGAGTCCCACAGTGCAGGTTCCCACCCGCACAGGAGAATCAGGAGTCTGGCAAGATCCCGACCGAGAGCGGGTGGGGTGGGGGCGGGGGCCCTGGGGCTCCGCCACGGCCCTCGCCGCTGTGCCCCTGGCCGGGGGAGCTTGTCACTCCGGGTGTCGGGGCCCGGGCCTCCGCCGAGGCTCCCGGCCCAGCGCGAGCGCGGCCGGCGGACAAAGGCCAAGGCCGCAGGGGCCGTTCCGCGCGTGCCCGGGCCGCGCCGGGGGGCGGGAGCCAGCGGGCCAGTGGGGCGCGCCTATTGGCTGGGGTCGACGCCCATCCGGGCGCCGAGGCCTGGTAATTGGCCGGCGGGGGCGGAGTTCGGGGAGCCCCAATGAATGGGGGAGCCGGAAGCAGGAAGTGAGTTTGCGGACGGAGAAGCTGCTGCAGGTGAGGCGCGGTGCCCGGGTGTCGGGGTCATAACGTGTCACCCTCGGGGGACGGGGCGAGGTTGTGCCGATCGCAGGGTCCTCCCCTGTCTGCTCTCTGTCTGGTACCCCTGCCCAGTTCTTGTGGCCCCGAGGCCACGGAGGGCCCCGGGCAGCAAAGGGTTAACCCCCTTTCAGAACTCGGGGGCTTGTGCTATTGGGGCGGAGCTTCGGGAGTCGCCCGGGAGGCTGGAAACGCCTTCTAGTGGGCCAGAGCGGAGTAGATGCGCTGGACCGGAGCCGGAGCCGGTGGAGGGCGGGTGGGCCCGGCCCGGGCCCCCACGGGGCCTTCGCGCACTTGCTTGGCCTCTCCAGGTCTCACTCTTCCTACACGTGAGATGAGTTTTCTGCCAGCTCTGAACTTCCGTGACTCTGAGCATTCCTGGCTGAGCACTGGGAGAGGCAGGGGTGGGGGCCCGCACCCTCGCTGTTTTGGGAGGGCCAAGGGGGGCTAAGTGAATGAGCAGGAAGAGCGTGGGGTCGGTGAGAGGCCGAGGCTAAGGGAGATCATGCAGCGCCGGAGGTGCATCCCATCGGGTGACCGCGTCCAGTTTGCACGCCCACCTGGTGAACTTGAAGTTATAGCTCCCATTTCACAGAGGGGGAAACTGAGGCACAGAGGAGCGAAGCCACAGATTTCGTTTTAGGAATCTGGGCAGAGCCTGGATGCAGACCTTGGTCTTCTCCCTGCCAGTCTTCTTGCATCCTGGTGTCTAGGTACATGAGTGGGCAGAACTGAAGAACCTACAGAAGAATCTGTAGAGGAGGCCAGGGGGTCAGAGAAGGAGGAGGGGAGACAGTAGGAACCTGGACTGGGAGGCAGGAAATAACAGGCCTCTGCTTTGTAGATCTCCACGGTGTGATTAGGCAAACCTCCTAGCTGCTCTGGGCCTCAGTCTCCCCATCTGTGACACCAGGTGGTTGATTCAGTGTTTAAGATTGAGGGGTCACGGACCAAACATGGTCTTCTGATGCAGAAGTAATCTTGGGTGATCACCATCTGGTGAGTGGGTGCAATGGTGTTCCCTCCCTGGGGGACTAGCGGGGTGGGGTGGGGGGTTTACGTGGGGCAGGAGAGTGCAGAGTGTGGCTGGTGCATGCGCGGCTAATGACAGCTCGATGTGACGCTTTCCAGCAGGGCCCATGGCGGACACCCAGTACATCCTGCCCAGCGACATTGGCGTGTCCAGCCTGGACTGCCGAGAGGCCTTCCGCCTGCTGTCGCCCACAGAGCGCCTCTATGCCCACCACCTGTCTCGGGCCGCCTGGTACGGAGGCCTGGCTGTTTTGCTGCAGACCTCCCCCGAGGCCCCCTACATCTATGCCCTGCTCAGCCGCCTCTTCCGTGCCCAGGACCCTGACCAGCTGCGCCAGCATGCCCTGGCCGAGGGCCTCACTGAGGAGGAGTATCAGGTCAGTTCTCTCAGGCCAACTTGCACTTCTGGCTTCTGGGTGTGAGGGGCCAGGCTGCCGGCACAAAGTCCTCTTTCTGTCTTTGGGTTCTTCCTAAGGCTACAAGCCCTGGCTCCTCCTGCCTTGAAGCCCAGTCTTCTCCTCTGCAAAATATGCCTGGGGGTAGCCTGAACCCCTTAGCAGCTCACCTCTTGGTGGCCTGCTGGGGTTTTCAGAGTAAAGGAGACAGCGGTGGAGAGTCAGAGAAGGTGGCGGAAGAATCCAGAGGGGCACTGGGAGGACGGGGGCAGATCTTCCTCAGCTGCATTTCGTGTCTCTGGATGGAGCCTTCTGTCTGTTCCCTGGCTTTGTCTGTGGCTCTCTGGGCTAGTAATGTAAGATTGTATTCCCAATGCATTGTAACCATGCAGAAAGACAAAACAGGAAGTTCACGCGCCCTCAGTGCCCCCCCTGGGAACTCCTGAGGATGGGGGTGCGCAGGCTTTTTGGTTCTCTGCCTCCGCAGCGCACGCACGCACAGGTGTGTCCGTTCGTGGTTTTCATGGCATGTTAATGAGGTCACGCTCTCCCTGTTCTCACACACCCTGCTTTTTTCACTGCTCGCATGTTGGGGTCCCTTTCGTGGGGTATATACATGGGGTCCACCTCGTGCTTTTTTATTGGTTGTGAAGCTTTCCACAGCAGGCTGCGCTATAACCAATTGAATCCTCTCCTTACTGCTAGGTATTTATAATGTTCCCAATTCTGCCTGCAAACAGCCCTGGGAATAGCATACGTGTGCACATGTCTGAGTAGAATCTGTTTCTAGAAGTCGGACTGATGGGTCAAAGCTTCTGTAGATTTATAGTTGATGCTGCCAAATCACCTAACACAGTTTCACCAAGAATGTTTAAGAACAGGGCCTGGTTTATTTACATGTAAAATAAAGGGTTGGATTAGCTGTCTAAGCCTATCAGAGCTCAGGCTGTTTCTGCTACTTTCTGTTGTTGTATAACTGTAGGTAATTATGCGCTATCTTGAGGCTTTGATTTACTCATTAAAAGTTACTAGCTAGATATACCAGAGACATTTTGTGGGGGTGGAGTGGGGAATGGGATCAAAAACTGGGGGCAGGGAAATGCAAGGGACTATGGTGATGGCAAACAGATGATCTGGTGATGGGAAGCCCTAGGGGATTGCAACTGAGATGAAAAAATGCACAAATGATGTAAAAATAAACTTATATTATTTAAAAAAAAGTTACTAGCTGGGAAAATGCTTACAAATGCACAAGTGCTCCCTGAGTGTCGCTGTTTTCAGGGGGAGTTTATGTTTGTTTGCAAAAAAGCAGAAACCACTTGAAATTGTCTTAAATGTAAAAAGAAAATGATGATTTCCACTTTCTAGTTCTCCATGCAAACTGTCAATCTTACTTAATGGCAACATTAGTAAGGCCTCTTGTATCTCTAAGAGAAGAGAGGTCACAGGGAAAACCGCCCTTCCACTCTCCAGCTGGAAAGAAAGAGCACAGACGCGTCCCCTGGGGCCAGGGCTGGCACAGGGACAGTTGAACTGTATTGACAAGTTCCTGAAGGCCTCTCTGAGAGTTAAAAACACCAGGGGGCCTGGACGTAGGAGGAACCCACCTATTCGGGAGTTTTATTTCAGGAGCTTGTCTAACAAACCCCCATATTTTTGGCAGGGGGAGAGGGGGAGCAATCAGTTTTAAAATATACCAGAACATTCTGTTCTTAACACAGCCTACCCTCTGGGGAAACTATTTAACCAGAACTTTACCTGTTAGGGTTTGATCAGGGGCTAACCGGCCTGGGCACTCCAGACAGCTCCAGCCATCCTGTCCCACATCGGGAGGAGAGGTGGACACAGGGTCGAGCAGCGCACGTGAAGCTCAGTCCCGAGCCGCAGGTTCTCTGGATGACCGATGAGACTCAGCATAGACGACAGAAGGACCCCACCCCTGCCTCAGACCACAGCACTAACTGCCTTTGACAGCAGCTCTTTTACTCCGTACATCATGTCTGGCTAAACACACTGAACAGCAGGAAACACACTTTGCAGAGACAGAGCAGGCCTCAGAACCAGACTCAGATAGGGTAGGGGTAATGGGATTATCAGGCCAGTAATTAAAATAACTGATTAATAAGTTAAAGACTTTCAGAGTGTGCAAGAACAGGTGGACACTATAAGTAGAGACATGGAAATTCTAAGAAAGAACGAAAAATGCTAGTAGTCAGCACTAATGAGATATGCTTTTCATGGGTTTGTGAGTTGACACAGCTGAAGAGAGAGCCTCTGAGCTTGAGTTTTCTCAGTGGAAACCTCTGAAACTGAACGGCAAAGAGAAAATAGACTGGGGGAGAAAACACCCAACTTATACAATATCCAGGAGTGTGGGACACTCTGGAAGGTGCAAATACAATTAATGGGGACGCCAGCCAGGGGAGAAGGAAGAAGCAGAAAGGGCAATGCCTGAGAAATTCCCCACATTAAATCCAGATACCAGATCATGGACCCAGGAAGCTCAGAGAACACTAAGCAGGATATTGAATACCAAAAAATCTATACGAAGGCATATTATTTTCAAACTACAGAAAATCAAAGATAAAGAAAAAAAGAAGCCACAGGGGAAAATGTCTTAGCTCTAGAGCAGCAAAGATAAGATTTACATCCCCTGTCTTTATAACCATGCAAGCAAGCAGAGGATGAAATATTTGAAAGTGATGAGGGAACAAGCTACCAATTAGAATTCTGTGCCCTTCGAAAGCGAAGGAGGAACAGAGACTTTGCTGGACAAACAAAAATTGAGGAAATGTTTGGTCAGTCGCCCTGATTTGCAGCAAATGTTAAAAGAAGTTCTTTAGAGAGAAGGAAAAGGATGTAGGTCAGAAGCTCAGATTTGTGTAAAGACAGGAAGAGAGTTGGGAAGGAGTAAGAAGGTAAGATAAAAACGTTTCTTTCTTATTCTTAATCTAAGAGTGAAGAGTTGGATCAGAATTATTATCATAGTAGCAACAGTATTCAACTCTGTGTATCCATATAAATGAAATGACAGCTATGATACAGGGGAAGACAGGCAGGAGTCGGCTTTATTTTAGTTTTGTAAGGTGCTCACAGTCTGCGTGCAGCAATTGGAAAGTGGGTTTGGGTTCATTGTGAGTGTCTAAGATGAGTAAAAAGAGAAGTGCCGTGGCCAGGCTAGGAAAATGGAGTCGTACACAGACTCAGTTAAAACCACAAAGGGAAGGAAAGAGTAGAAGACAAAAACTGAACAAGAACCAGGACAGTTATGAAGCAGTCATGTGGGTGCTGTTGCCCCGACTGTATCAGAACCATTGTGAGCGGCAGTGGCCTGAGCGTACTGGTTAAGATGCCATCAGCAGAGTAGATCAAAAAAAACAAGACCCCACCACAGGTTGTTATGAGAAACCCACGTTACAATGAGTGGGTGGATGGAGAGAGGTGTATCCGGCCCACACTGTTCCAGAGAAAGTGGAAGTAGTAATGTTAGCCTTGGAAAGAGCAAAGTTGAGAGCCTGGACGTTATCGGGGTGGGGAGGGTCAGTTCTCCAATAAGACACAGTCTTGATGTTTGTCTACAGGGCATCAGTATACTTGAGGCAAAATGGATAGACCTGCACGGGAAAAAAATAGATGAGCCCACAATGGCAGTTGGGGACTTTTACACCCCTCTGTGTGGAGTGGACAGATTAAACATGCAGAAAGTTAGTGAGGATGTGTCTAGTGCAACAGCATTGCCTCCGCTGGAGAGAACTGACATCTGCAGAGAACCAGACCCAGCAACAGAAGGAACGCACCTTCTTCTCAAGCTCATGAGGCTTCTCAGGCATCCAAGCTGCTGGACTGGGACAAACCCTCCTTGATCTCAATTCAAATTGCCAGTGTTTTCTTGAGGATCTTTGCATCGTTGTTCATGAGAATAGCCACGGGATCATGTAGACAGCAGTGGACAAAACCCAGCACCATTCGTAATAAAAACTGAGTAAACCAGGAGTAGAGGGAACTTCCTCCCTCTGGCAAAGACTCTCTACATCCTCCTTAACATAGACTTAGTGATGAAAAACTTGGAAGTTTTCCCACTAAGATCAGGAACAAGACAGGAATATCCCCACTCCCACTGCATGGTGGCGCGTTAAGCAAGAAATAAAGATGCTGTACAGATGGAGAGGATGACACAGTCATCTGTGTGGAAATCCAGAAGTGGAAAAAAAGAAACAACTCGTGGGACCACGAGGCGGTGACAGCAAGGATGGAGCTAGACAGACAGCTGAGGTGGAGACGCACGCGCCGTCACTGGCCCGGCCGAGAGCTGGGTCATCTCTGCGCCTCTGCTCAGTTTTGCTGTGAAACTTAAACTGCTCTAAGAAGTAAATCTGTTAAAAAGGAATTATTGGCTTACACATGGAAAGGTTCAGGGCTAGGGGAGGTTCAGGCCTGACAAGATTCAGGGCGCAGCGATGTCACGGGGTACAGGCATCACCCTTCCGCTCCAGAAAGGGAGTCCAGGCTTGGGATATCCAATATAAAACAGATTTTGCCACTGGACATCTCCTGGGAGGGCTGTCCTTGGCCAGCCTGAGTCTGCCCACCCCTGGAGTGGGGGAAGGGGATCCCCTCTCCCAGAGGGAAGATGAGTGCTTTTATTGTCAGGGAGATTAGATTTTGGTCAGCAAAGCCTTTGAGTACGTGACCCTTTCTAACACCCTTTCTAACGTTTGCCACATCTGACGTGAGCTGCCCCAGGTCGGGGCCACGGGCAGACTTCCCTCAGGAGGAGGCAGTGTTTGAACAGGGCCCTGGCTGTGACGTTGGCTGGGAGTGGCTGGCCTAGAGAGAGCACTCTGTTTGGGAGTGGCAGAGGAGGGAGCACTCTGGAAGTGGCAGAGGAGGGAGCACTCTGCTTGGGAGTGGCAGAGGAGGGAGCACTCTGGGAGTGGCAGAGGCGGTTTGGCTGGTCCATGGGGCGAGTACCCCTGTGCCTCACCCTTGCTGGCTCCTCTGGGGTGTTAACATTTGGGGGCACTACTCAGGTCTCTGATGCCCTCTCCCCCCTCAGGCGTTCCTGGTCTACACCGCCGGTGTCTACTCCAATATGGGTAATTACAAGTCCTTTGGCGACACCAAGTTTGTTCCCAACTTACCCAAGGTGAGTAGGAGGAGGCTGGTGAGGTGGGAATTGGGGTGGACATAGTGGGTGCAGCGGGGGGAGCCCCTGCCAGCGTGGCTCCAGCAGGACCTTGACCCTGCACCTCGCGGGTGCTGCACCCACGTATGAGGGGACAGGGCACTTCTTCCTGACCCAGCTCAGGGGCGCGAGGCTGCGCTCTCGGGCAGCACTGATCTGTCGCTGCACCGGGTGCCCGGGCGCTCAGAGGGTGGGCACGGAGGCCCAGAGGGGAGGTCTGGACCCAGGGGCTGGGCCTGTAGCCTCCTCCCGCTGCAGGAGAAGCTGGAGCGTGTGGTCCTGGGAAGTGAGGCCGCCCGGCAGCACCCGGAAGAAGTGAGGAGCCTCTGGCAGACCTGTGGGGACCTCATGTTCTCCCTGGAGCCCAGGCTCCGACACCTGGGCCTGGGGGAGGCGGTGAGGCCTGGGCCCCGGGGGGCGGAGGGCAGGTGGCTGCTCCGGCTGCAGGCCTCTGCTTTGTCCCCTGTGAGGTGGGGCTGGGTGGGGGGCCCTCCTGGTCCTGACAGCCGAATGTGGTGAGCAGAAGGAGGGGCTGAGGCTGGGGGAGCTGAGGAGGGGAGAACAGGAAGGGCCTCCGGATTCCTGGACGCTGCTGGGTGGGGGCACTTGGGCGCCTTGTGGCGGGCCAGCCTGTGAGAGGCCGGGCTGAGGTGCAGGTGGCTGGCACATCGCTGTTAGTGGTTGCTCCCAGCCCAGTGCTGGAGGGGCGGTCGGGAGGGGCTTGCCGCCTGCCCCGCAGCCCCCGGCCTCAGCTGCTCTGTCTCCGCAGGGAGTTACCACCTATTTCTCTGGAGATTGTACCATGGAGGATGCCAAGCTAGCCCAAGACTTTCTGGACTCACAGGTTTGGGGGCTGGGGAGCCCAGGGCTGGGGGTTCCCCTTACCATTGGCACCAGCTTTTGGGTTTCGGTCGGGGCTGGGAGACATAGGCATCTTGTGTCCAGAAGGTGGAGAAGACTTGGGAGTCTTGTCTGAGAGTCGGCCTGGTTCACCTGTCCAGAGACAGAGCCGTGGCTCAGCCCACTGAGGCCTCAGGGCAGGACTGGGGGCATCAGAGCAGCTGGTCACCCTGTGAGGGGGCTGCTCCCTGTCGGCCTGGCCTGGCTCTGGTCACATGGGGCCGGCACAGTTAATCAGCACTCAGTGACAGTGCTCCGAGTGCTGGGCCCGGCCTGCCCCACCCCCATCCTGCCCTCTTCCAGCCACTGGGCAGCGGGGTGGGGGAGGCCCCCCCGCCCTGTCTCCCTGGTGTGACCCACTCTGCCTCCTCCTTCCGCACAGCCCTCTCTAGCTCTGTTCTTCCCACCCCCTGCCCTGGTCTTTCCAGAACCTCAGTGCCTACAACACCCGGCTCTTCAAGGAGCTTGGCCAGGATGGGAAACCGCGCTACGAGGTGCGGCTGGCCTCCGTGCTGCGCACAGGTACGCTCTGCTTCTGCCCCTTCCTCAGCCCTCAGTTCCAGTTCCATGTTTCCCAAGGGAACTTTTATTTATTTATTTAAAGATTTATTGATTTATGCACACAGGAACTGGGGTACAGGCCAGAGGTGTGGGAGGTCAGAGGAGTCACCAGAGACAGAGTGGGGAGAACAGGCAGATCCACTGAGACCCACTGCTGAGGGGAGCAGCGGGGAGACAGGAGAGGGCTGTGTCCTGTGGGTCACTTCCTGGCCCGGGATCGAACTCGTGCTGCGCTGGCGGCGGACAGCTTCGTAGTGCTGCTCTCTAGGCCGTGGCGCTGGGGTACAGTCTGCTGGCGCTGCTTCCCGTGTGACCTTAGACACTTAACTTCTGGGGCCTTGGTTTCTGCATCTGTGAGGTGATGATAACAGTTTCCCTACCCCCAGAGCTGGGGGATGGTTGGATGAGTTGATACATGTAAAACCATTAGAATAGTTCATGTTACAAAAATATGGGGTGGTTTCACTTATGGAAGGATATAGGGGAACTAAATAAGCGATGGGGGGGAATCATAAATAGAAAAATAAAAATAGCAGGCAATTATAAATCAGAGACATTGTGCGGGGGAGGGGGAGGATCAAACCAGGGGAGGGAGAGCTCGGTGGTGGGGGGCGGGGATTTCACGGGCTGCTCTTGAGAGGAGAAAGCAGATGTGCAGAAACGAACAGAGATGTAAATACACAAATCAGTCAGCTTAAATTAAAACGACAGCTCACGCTACAGTATGTGTGTTTTTGAAGCTGGAAGTTTCCACTGATTTGTGGGCAGTGGGAGCCGCTGAGGGTCCCAGCGAGTCTGCCGTGGCAGAGCCAGCGGGGGTCCTGTGACCTCTCCCCTGAGCGAGCCCTCTTTTCTCAGAGCCTGCTTTGGACTCGGAAGTGGCTTCCAAGCTGAAGGGCTACGAATTCCAGGGGAGCCATTTCCAGGTGACCCGGGGGGACTACGCACCCATCCTCCAGAAGGTAGTGGAGCACCTGGAGAAAGCCAAGGTAGGACTGGGGGGCTGAGCTGTGTGGGCTCCAGACCCCTGAGCAGCAGGGGCGGGCAGGCACGAGGGCCCAGGCTGACCCCTGCCCCCTCCCGCAGGCCTATGCAGCCAACAGCCGCCAGGAGCAGATGCTGGCCCAGTACGCGGAGAGCTTCACTCAGGGCTCCATTGAGGCCCACAAGAGGGCCTCGCGCTCCTGGATCCAGGACAGAGGCCCCA